ATCTTTTCATGCCCTTGTAAACAGTTCCTCTCCAGATTTCCTGTAGGCCCCCTTTAGGTACTGAAAGGCTGCAATACAGTCCCAGAAGCAAGGCTGCAATACAGTCACCCAGAAGCCTTCTATTGTCCAGGCTGAGCAATGGCAATTCTCCCAGCCTTTCCTCATAGGAGAGGGGCAGCAGCCCTCTGACCATCTTGGTGGCCCTCCTCTGGATCTGCTCCAACAGGTCAATGTCCTTACTGTGCAGAGGATGTTGTTATTATTCTTACCTACTCCTTATAAAAATACATCAGTATTATTAAAATTTAGTGCATCAGAATTACCATGGAGTGCTTTGGAGTTTTATTATCATGCTTCCTCATTCAAAAGCTTTTTTGTGCTTTCTCACAGCTCCTGCCTTTCAATATTCTTTTTCCAACTTTCAGTCAGATGTCTAGCCAGTGGTGCTAAGGAAACATTTTTTTATTTCCATTTTCAATGCCATTGTTTTAAAGATTCATACAAAACCCTGCAATCACAGCTTCCTTCCAAAACAATGGATATGTGGATGGATAGATAGTTGGAATAGATACTACTAGCTTTCATCAGTAGTTTGCATTATTAGTTTACATTTATTTAGTTAGAACAGTACTTCTCCTTCTTCTTCTTCTTTTTAAAATTATTATTATTACTTTCATCATAATCATAATTATTATCATTATTACATCAATGTTTCTGGACATGAAGAATTTTCAAGCAAAAGATAGTTGATCCACTGCAGCTAAATCATTTTAATTTATGCTTATCTGGAATAGGAGTGTGAAAAACTGCAGGTGGGAGTTAAGTGACAAGTGCATAATTAGGTGCAAATTGCTTGCACATTTATAGAAAGTAAAAAAAATTAAATATCAAATAAAGAAATAAAAGAGCTTTTGAGGAAAGCTATCAATATTTAAATGCCATGACTGCCAAATAATCATTAGTCATTTTCTGTCAGGTAAAGTATAGGAGGGCATTTTTGACAGTGCCTCAGGATTAATTTAGATTTAGCCAGGATGTGAAAGTAATATTTCATGAAGACTAGAGGCAGCTTTTTCACAGAGTTGTACCCATGGGTACAATAGAATGGGGTCTAAAGAGAATAAAAACTGTCTTCCAGAAATTATGTGTTTTTGGGATGAAGCCAGGAAGAGCTAAGGACCTTATGAAATACTATGCCTAGACACATAATGCAGCACTGTAAATGACACTATGAGGGCTAGACACATATGTTAGGTTTATCAGTGCTGAGCTTTTCTGTGCCTAAATTCCCAGTCTTGGTCTATCAGCTTAATAAATCTGACTTTGAATGCCTCAAAATAGCTTTGAAAATGGAGGGAATCATTAGAACAGCACCTCCATAAGAATTAATATATCTCTGGGATACTTTATTAAACAGATGCCAATTTCTGCTAGTGAACAAGAAATATATTCTAATCCACCATGAAATTGAAAACACACAAGGAAGATGCTATGGTGTAATAACACAGAAAAAGCAATCAATCATTGCACCTATCTAAACTTATATCCTTTCCTAACAAAATAAACAAACTAGAAGACATTAAAATACAGTGAAGACTGTTTCTAAAATGTGTACAGCACATAAGACACAAAGGAAAGATAATGACTCTGAAGCAAAGCCTTCATGTGATTGAAAGATGACAGAAACCTTTGCCACCGAGTCATCCCTCTGAAGTTCAGGGGTCTGTTTCATTTCAAGTCTTTCTATGGCACACCTCTATCAGATGTAAATATATTTGTACACCCTCTTCTATGCCTGTCCTGCTGAGACTCAGCAGGATGAATACTAAGAGGTCCAAGATGAATGAACCTTGAGAACACCAAGCTTAAGGGTATAAATCAGGGCTTTTTGAAAGAGATTGGCTTTCTAACTTTGAATTCTCAGCTCTTGTAGCTACTCCCTTTACTATAAACACCAATAATCATTGCATTAAAATAAAAAAAAAGGAAGGATGGGAAGGAAAATGCAGAATTTAAAAATTATTTGGTGCTTCCTGCATATCCTGAGCTGCTTTTCTTGGAAAAACAATTAAAAATTTTTCAAGTTAAGACACATAAAAATGACAGCCATGTTTTTAAGTCTTGGCCTAAGCCACTTGCCCAAGACAATACAGGAAACCTGCAGCAGGAGCAAGAGAAGAATCTGGATTTCCTAAGCCTACTTCAGTATCAGAGCCAAGGGATGACTGTGTAAGCATTTACAGGATTTTAGGTCTTTATGGTGAAAAATAGTGCCTGGTGAAAGGTCCGGTCTTTTTCAGTGACTAGTATAATTCTGCTCTGTGAGACTTTAGAAAAACAATTTAATGGCTTCACATAGCAAAGAAAAGGGTTTGTTTGGTGTAATAAAGGAACAGTGACCATAGAAAGGACTTGGAAACCAACTAGCAGACATCATAGTAGAAACAGAAATATCACAGTATCTATGGGGAAAGCAAATGTTTTTGCTTACAAAGTTGAAGGTATTACTCTCTCACAGTTCTCCATTTTAATGGGTTTGTCAGACCAATGAGTTAATTTAACTATGTGTCAGTCCACTAGTTCATCCACAAAATCATACTGTCAAATATGAAAGTTGTATGCTGTGTTGTTAGTTGGATTTAGCAAGTAGGAGAAATTAGGGACATACTTTTTCTAATCATAATTCATACCCACAAATATTTGCAACCATTTTTCAGCAGGTCTAAATATATCTTCCTGAATTAGCAGGAATTTTATTTTCCACTTCTATTCCCAGAGAACCTGATCCTCATTGACTTTTCTGACTTGGAAAATAAGTTTTTCTTCTTTCACAGATTTCTTTGCTCTCCTTGGCATTTCCTGCTCTATCACATCACTCTCCACTGCTGACATATCCTTTGAGCTCTCAGGGGCACAAACTGATGGTGCGGTTTTATGTTTAGTTATGCAGACCTTCTTATTCTTAACTTATTCAATCAAGCATCAAAAAAATTGTTACACAGAGAAGAAAACAAAAATGAATATAGCAGTTTGTTCCCACCAAGGCCTATTTTCGATGGCACAAAGGCTGCTCTGATCATATCAACTCTGATGCATGAAGCAATGTTGTGCTGACTTATGAGCTCAAGGATGTAGCCAGTTATCAGGTCATATGAGAAAAATCCTAACTCCAGGGTGCAGCAGGTGAATGTGCTCATGATTATGGGTTTTCTGAGTGCAAGATGTAACCACATGGCCAACCTGTGACGGACAAGGTCTGTAACATTCAACCACAGGGGAGAGTAGAGATTGAGACAGTGATGCAAATACATGAGAGGAAGCTTCAACTGTGTGGCAGCAAAAGTCAAGGGTTAGTTATGGGAGGTCGCTTGCTAGACTTGGTATAATAGGGAGCAAAAGACATCCTCATATATAGTGACATATCAGACTAGAAAGATCATTACATTACCCTCCCTTCCCCAGTCACTACCTCCTCTTCATCCTCTGCTTTCACAATGCCTACTCAGCACCTTTATAATTAATGTTTATTAATCAGTCTGCCAAAATTGAAGTAGATTAAAAAAGATTTAAACTACACACTGTAACAGCACTGAAAAAAACAGAGGGCAAATAAATGCTTTCAAAGGCTAAATCTGGGTGTTGATTAGATATCTGTGTGATCAAGAGGCCATGAAAAAATTAACCTTGTAAAAGTGGAGAATATTAAATTATTTTCTGAAAATTTTCATCTAAATTACTACAACACATTTTGATTCATTTTAAAGGTATAGTGAACTCCTTGTTGTCTTGAGCACCTAGAGTATTCTCTCTGCCTGTATGGAGCATCTTTGAGTAGACAGTCTGTGCTTGCATGAGTGTTTCTGTCTGTGTCTGTCCATGCTTACATGTGTGTATCAGGTGTATACACGTGTGCCCACAAGGAATACATGCTACTGGCTCAACCAAGGAAGCTTGACCATGGAGCTGCTGCAGCTCTGTCTCTCTCAGGCTACTGGATTCAGTGTCTCCTAACAAAGGTGACCAACACCACATAAGTACGTGACCCAGGCAATTTGTCCATGTATTAATGTATCTCTACATTACCCATATGTTTGAAATACCTCTGCATGATTAGAAATGGCATTTATATTCAACAAGACTATTCCAAGATTCAGCAAATGTGACGAATGTCTGTAGCAGAGAAGCTTGTGTCACCAATGCAAATTCCCATTCTAAGACTAAATGATGCTAAAACACATCCTTGTGACTACTACAAAAATTATTTTGCTTCACCGAACCTGGACAATTACTTCCAAAAACTAGAAATCACTAGAAATGTCCCTTTCTTGCTAATGGGAAGAGAATCAATGTGGCAATATTTGGGAGCCACCCTATTCTGCACAAAGTAAACAAGAGTCCTTGGAAAATGTACAGTTTTATGTGCAGTATGATGCTTTTATGTAGCAGTAATATATGTGCCGATAATCATGGCATCAGCAGATTGAAATGTGGACCTTGGCTTCTGGGGTTTTGTTTAATTTTGTTAAAAAACTGGAATCCAGGTGGGTCTATCTGGGCATTTATTTTTAATATCACAAGACAGTTTTCTCCAGAAATTTTCAACAACTAAGCAGGATGTGATAAAAGACAAAGACTCTCAGTGTGAAAAAATCAGACATGCCTCAAGGCAACAATCTTCAAAAATACAGGTTTAAACAATAGGCTTTTAAAAGTCTTCCTATAGGGACTTAGCCTAAAGAACAACATGATACAAGTGTTATTCCTGTCCTTAGGGCAGTTTAGGTATCAGTACATATGTTTTATATTTCAGCACTCCTGTGAAAAACATATCTTGCTTATCAACAGTGCATATGGCCCAGAATTACATGTATTCATGGAAAGCTGTCTAGTTCCTGGTAATTTGTTTCATACATTTGACAGTGCAGAGTTGTTTTCAGTGCTGTATCTAAGACATTAATATCAATGGGGAGGCATGAACATAATGCTCACAGGCCATTATGGTCGGCAAATATGTCAACTTTATTATTTAAATCAGTTAACTTTTATACAGTTTAGTTTGTTTGGGACACATGCTTATAAGAAGGTGATTGGATAGCTCAGTCTGTGCACGCGTCTCATGTCTCCAGTTCATTGGACTTGATGTTCTGTCCACGCGATCTGAAATCATCCTTGGCATAGAAACCTCTTTCTAATTAATCTGCTTTTAGGGTTTTACTAAATTTGCAGGTGTTTCATTATCTTCAGTTTCTCAAGGTTTTCTTTCTATAAACATATTATGTTCTCAAACCTTATAATTAGACACACAGCTAACAAGTATAAGCATCACATATTTTCACACAGTCTATAAGTATAAACAATACACACTTGTCACTTCCATGGCAAGCAAGGCCTAAAGAGTGCAGGAAAAATTGTTCAGAGAAATCTCTCTGTCCCGGCAACACATTAAGCAAATAACATTAAACATCTTAACAGAAATAGGGAGAACCTGAAATGAAAACAAGTCTGATAAGTTACTAAGACTTTGAAAAAATAAAGTGTTTTACACTTGTAGCTTTTTCCTATATTTTAATATTTTTTTTTTTACAGAAAGTAATACCTCAGGTTTAGACAAATCTTATTTAAACTACAATCCTGTCAGGTTGGGTTACAAAAATTGTAACTCAGAATGATGCAATGCTTGTGAAATAAATTCTACATATTTCTGCAGTAATGCAACACTTCTGGCAAAAGTATAGAAAACACCTTCATCTTAGGTTGACATTAGTTAAAAACAAAAGTGCTGTAGTACTTTTCTAGTGACCAGTTTATGTTACAACACGAGTCCTGCTGTAACTCAGAGGTAAACAGATCGGTTTGCCTGCTATCCTTCCCATAATAATAAGTCTAAGGTCCTCAAAAACAATACACGTTTGAAATCAGATTTCAAAGTTCTAGTTGAAAGTGATCTTCTCTAACTTATTTAACAAATGCAGAAACTGAAACAGCAAAAGTTTTTGCTATAGTCACTATGCAGACCTGCAATAGGACTGGAAACAAACTCCAGTTCTCCTAAGTCCCAGTCTAAAGCCCTGTCTAGTAGGTCTCATCACTAAACTATTTTATATAAAAGTCAGGCTTAGCGGTGTAATTGAATTCGCCAAGAGTACCATTTTCTGCAGTCCCATTAGCAGCCTAAGTGAACATCTCTGCCAAGAACTTCTGAATTCCCCTAATTCACCATATAATTCCCCTCCCATTTGGCAGAAGTGTTGAGATAATTAAGCTCCTATTATCATTATGCTAATGATGAGAGATACTTGTAATTGCTCTAAATGAAGGAAAAGTTCAAACCTGGTTTTACACCTAGAAATCTAAGACTTCTTCAAAGTGTTGCTACTGGCAGAGATAATTTTTTTTGTGTTTGTCTTTCCGTAAAAGAAGTGGGGATACTCAACACAAGGTAACGAGGCAGGGAACACTGTCTCGCCTTTGCATCACTCAGCAGCTTTATCCAACACAGAAACAAGAAACTGGAGAGGAGCCAGTGTACAGCCAGAAGACTGCAAAGATCTACTGGAGCAACCAGCTGTGAGTTTAATTGTACAATGACTCCTTCAGCCAGACAAAAATTGTCTTCTAGACCCCACTTATTCTTATTAAGCTTCTTTTAACAGCTGGATGAGGATCTAAATATGTGAGAAATATAGAATACTTTACTTTTGAATTACTTCTCCAGTTTCTTCTTGACAACAGTTTTCTTTTGACAGCTTCAGAAGTCATAGTGGATGTGACCAATGAGGAGATAAAGGCAGATGTGTAATAGACAAAATATATAAGTTGTGCTTAACATTTTAGAGGTGAAAGGGGAGGTTAATAGAGTAACAAATTCTTTCAGTAATTGAATACTTGTTCAAGTTCTCACTACACAAAGATCCAAACCAGTCATTATCATTTAAGGCAAGCGTTTTCAGTTTGACAGATGTTTCCGAAAATGTTCTTTCCAGCATGACCTGAAAGTTTGGAAAGGAATTCATTTATTCAGGTACCTGAAATGAATCACGGTGGTTTTGTGTTGTTTGTTGGTTGCTTTTGGTGTGTTTGGGTTTTTTCTTGGAACTTCGATCAAAACAGACACTGTCACAATAATCCTGCCTGGCTCGGCTCAAACATATCCTTGTCTCTGAGTTTACACACAGCATTGGGACTCCTTAAGGGGGATGCTGATGAAGCGGGTGTCCATGGCAAGGTTGTATTAGCGGGGGGCAAAAGGGACTTCAGGGGTGGCCTCTGTGAGAGGGAAGCAGGGGCTGCCCCATGCCAGGAAGAACTGGTTTCAGATGACTCCAAAACAGACCCTTGGCTCCACAAAGCTCAGCCCAGCAGTCAGGCTGGTGGCACCTCTGTGAAAAAATTTAAGGGTAAAAACCACTGCACAGCAGCTGTGAGAAGGGAGTGATAAAAATGTGAGAGAAACGACCCCGTAGGCACAAAGGTTATTCCTGCTCCCATATTGGAGCAGTTTGTGAAGGATTGCATCCCCCATGCTGGAGTCAGGGAAGACTGTGAGGAGGAAGGGGAAGCAGAGACAAAGTGCTATAAGCTGCCTGCAGACCCCATTCCCCCAAACCCTGTGTCACTTGCAGCAGGGAGGAGGAAGAAGAAGAGTCACGAACAAAGGAATGAAGTTGAGCCTGGGAAAAGGGGGAAGTGGGGAAAGGTGGGCTTAGTTTTGTCTTTGTGTCTCACTGTTCTACTCTATTTCTAAATAGCAATAAATTAAATTAATCTTCCTCAAGCTGAGTCTGTTTTGCCTGTGATGGTAATTGTTGACTGCCTTGTCTTTATGTTCACTCACAAGCTTTTCCATCATATTTTCTCCCCCTGTACTGCTGAGGAGGAAGAGTGAGGTGGTGACTGGGTGAGGGTCTGGCAGCCAGCCACTCTCAACTCACCACAGCTGGTATGGTGGGATATGAAAGCATACAGCACAGGGGACATAAAACTACAGTAGCAAAAATCCTTCCCTTGCCATTGGTTATATCTTCTCTCATACACATCTTTCAGTTTCTTGGAGCAATAAAAGTAGCATTTTGAAATAAATACTAGAATAAATAAGGAGATCCAGGAGTTGACAGTAGCTGCATACTTGTGTCATTTCATTATTCAAAATTATGTGGGTTTGGCTGAGGCCGGCTCTATCCTAGCCCATTGCTTTCTGCCTGCAGTCTTACAGTGAAATCTAAACATCTCAGACAGATGTATGGTAGCAAACTGTCTTGTCAAATATTTTCTAGCTCCTATCTGCAGCCCCATGTGGATGTCTCAAATACCTGTGGGACATCTTGAATGGCACGTTTAGGCAACAATGCTAAACCCCACACAGCCCAAGGAAGTAAGACTTTTGGGTGGAGGCTCACTCTCTCTCTTCTATGTGACTAAGGTCTAGTCCATTCATAGTCCATATATGAACTGGAAAAAGGAAACCATCCAGAAAAAATTTACATTATTATATGTTTCATCAAGATTCACATCTTACTGTTAAGCCATCAATTCAGTGTCACAGGCTTCCCATCCACCAGGATATTATGGCTGAATTAATTTCATAACTGTTCACCAGTTTAGCAAAATTATCACCACTTTTCCCTTAACGATAAATGAACACTATTTCCATATTTTCCTCCTATTCATCACTGAATTCTTGCCAAGCTTTTTTTTTTCCCCCATTTCTTCTCTTTGCTGGCAAGTTTTCAAGGACAGTTGAAAACAATGTTGAGAAAAATCATGATTGATCCACTCATGACTGCTGTGGCAAGAACTGCTGCACTACAATTGCATGGGGAGACAAAGGCTGGCAGTCTTTTTATGTTTCAGCAGCCATTTAAGGCTATTAACCTTGAAGGCAATGGCAGCTGCTGACCCTAGAAGGCTGAATCTAGCTAGTGCTGAGCAAGACAGAGAAGGGCTGAGCAGCTCTAAGAGCCAGCCAGGTCAGCAGCAGAAGGGCTCAGTGCCCCAAGGGTTTGTCCCTTAACTGATGATTTCTTAAAACTGCCTGGGCTGAAATGCTGATTCTAGCAAAGTAACTTGTTCTTGCAGCTTGTTTCAGGTAGCAAAGTAAGGTGCCCTATGACTGTACAGCTAATAACTCAATTTAGGAGCTGGTCTTGAAGGGCACAAAGTAACTCAATTCAGTGTGACTTCCCTGGGAGCTGACGACATATGGCACTATGTAGGGTCAGGCTCTAAGAACAAATATAAATAAAAGACTCCTCAGTTGACTTCTCACAAAATGATGAAGTGAGGATTGGCCTGACCGATTAAAGTAATAAAGCCAGTTAAAATTTATGTTGTGATACTGAGTATTTATTGACCTGCAGCGTGTTGTAGCTGCAGATACAAGACATCTGGCAAAATTCTGTGGTGAGTAGGGACTAATCTGTAAGGGTGATAAATTTCACTGGTAATTTGACTGAAGTAAGGCCAGTAAAGCCAAATTAATTCTGTGCTAAAGCTGTGACGACATTCAGTTTTTAAGACTAAAACGTTTAAGCTACAGTCTACAGTCTTTAACAGCTGATCAGTCCCTTAAACTAAGCCTACTGGAAAAATCTTCAGTGTTACACTTATTGAAGCCTTTATAATTTGTTTTGGGTCTTTGTTATAGGCTTCCCTTGGAGCTTTCTCTACCTGATTTTAATTAAGAATGTATCTGAGCTTGAGAAAGTATTACCTGAAACCAAAAAGAGATTTGTAATGACAACAGTACAGGAAATATTAATTTATATTCAGAGCATGGAAGTGATGAGGTTATTGCTAGCTGGTACCCTTGATACCACAGCCATTTGGTTCAGCTCTGCACGATTCTACTGGTTGAGCTAAAGTCCCATTGTTGTTCTTATTATTGTTATTTCTAGACAAAAGCACTTCTGGGTTTTAAATCAGATACGTGATTGAGGACTTACATGTTTTGTTCTTTGCTGTCCCCCTCTTCCCCTTGCTACTATTGTGATTCCAATCACTGCAGGGGGAAAGAGTTTACTGAAAGGTTAGATGCTGGCCCCAGGACTCTCTGAGCTGGAATTGTCATCCTGCCTGTCCTGTGCAAAGAGGATTTTCACTGGCTGCTAACCAGTGCAGGACAGTTCGGAAACCTGTTTTCAGTTCTTAATCCCACAGAAGTCCCCTTTACATAATACCACACCCCAAAACTGCATGTCTCTGAGCTGGGATCTGGGTGTCTGCCCAAGACTTCAAAGGTGTTTTGTGGGAAGGGGGAAAAAAAGGAGGATGACTTTGTTCCTCATTTTGTTTTCAACATAGCTTTTCCCTAAAACCAGCAGAGAAGAGGATGTGCTGAGCCTTGCATGGTGTGAAGCCACAATATTCCATCATTAATTTTACCTAAGACTTTTATGTAGTCTAATCACGGAGTAAGAGAGCAGCTGTTAAAAACATCTAGTTCTCCTTAAATTAAATGTGTTATAAATGATGATTGCTTTTCTGAATATTCTTGCAGTTATTAGTATAGCAAAGGAATTTGAAATAGTTACTGCAAAACAATACTATTAGGATGCTTTTACTGAGTAAAAAGGAGATGATTTTATGAATTGCTTGCGCTATAACAGGAATGTTTAACATAACATAAACTCCAACATTTTTTAGCACAAACAGTGTTGTCATACCCTCTTGCTCAGAAAATCTGTCAAATGAACAAGTGTGAACAGCAGTTTGAAAACAGTTAATGCTTGTGCTCACGTTTTATTAATCACCACAAACAGATTTGAGGTCAGATAATCTGAGTGAAGTATATCAATACTATTTGAAGATACAAACTTTAAAAATTACATGTCCAGTTCTGATCTCACTCAATTTTTAATAAAAATTATGATCATAAAGAGCTTTGTTGTAGTATTTTAAAATATCGTAGGACCTACTTTGCTTATATCACTTAAATATTTGGCCCGGGAGACACAATTCAAAAACATGGGCTGATTCTCCTTCTACCACAAATAGTGCCACAGGAGTCTCTCTGTGACCAAGTCACTGTGTAATCCAGGGAAAACAAATCAGGGGCTCAATTCTCTCTCAGGAGGGCAGTCATCATTCTGTCTCTCCTGGCGGAGAATGTCTAACCATCTGGTTTCCAATTAAGCAAAAAATACAAAAGTGCTTCTGCTGATTCCAGTTAAAGCTGATTTACCCTCCCTGCAGTACTCAAAGAACTAAAGAGGAAGATGATGTTAATGAGCTGAGCACAAGATATGCTGGAATTTCAAATGTTTATTAGAGGAGGAATAGCATTGGGAACTGTCTTCTAAATGCATTTGAGCATTACAATAAACAACCATTTTGTAAAATATTGAAATAGTCATTTCAAGCAAGGTCTGGAAAAGAAATCACCTCTCTCGCAGGAACCTGAAGCATAAGGTTAAGGGTAGTGACCTCCACCAGGGAAAGGAAAGCCTCCTGCTAGAGCTATGTGAGCTACTAATGCAGTTCCAGAAAGCATTTGGATTTAAGACAGCAGCATGTCTAGTACTGCCTAGTGAGTAACATGGACCCATGTGCTAACCTCTGGTCCTACAGTGTACAGGCAGTCCTAGCATTTGTTGGAGTCATGATTTATTAAGAATTGAGAGCATTTCTCACCTGGCAGGATCAGGGCTCTAGACAGCAATACATTTTCTTATTCTCCAAGAAGCTCATCCATCTCTAAGAAACTAAAGAAACAGGGAGAATTATTCAGCAGCACCAGAAGCAACAGGAAAAGAACTGTGTGTAAGCCTTAGCAAGGCATCTCTAAGCAGCACAGTGAGCTTGTAACAGAGCCCAGGCATATTTCAGGAACAAAGATAAGACGTTTCTGCTCAGATAAAAGGGAACAACACTGCAACAGTCAGACTTGGAGCCAGAAACTGCTGAAAATGCTCAATTCTGATAGTTGCCTAAACCCATTGGGATCTTGCTACACCTGAGGGGAAAATGGAGCCTGAAATGTAAGCAACAGTTGACATCTGGTTTTCCAAAGAGAAAGGATTAATGAAACCTACAATGTGTCCTTCCCACTGGTTTCCCAACCTTATCACATGGCATTAGTAAAGGAAAAGCAATAACAGAAGCAGCAATAAAATTACAGGCTGTGAGGTCTAATAGGTCCCCTTTCCTTGCTCACTCAGGATTCCAAAGGCAACTAGCTAAAGTTGTGTAACGGACTCATAGCAACCCACTTGGGCAGGCTGTGCTGGGGTGATAGGAGGTGTGGGAGGAAAGGAAAGCTTCCTGGGAAGTCGAGCACTGGCAGTACAGCCCACTGGGGAGAGGGATGTGCGCGAGAGAGCAGACACTGGCGCCCATCTGGCCACACCACTCACCCTTCAGAGCAGCTCTTGTTCCATTGTATTTGCATTGTTATAAAGCAATTTTGATAATGTACCTGTGGTAGCATTATAATTAGATATTAATAGCATGTATTCATAACACATTGCACACATATCTGCTCATAAGCACGACTGTTGTGTAGAGGGAACTATCAATGACTCAAAGTAAAAATGTATGTAAATATGAACTGTAACAGTTTTCCTAAGATTATAAGCTGAAAGTACAGGCATGGGTTAGCTGTGGTTTATACATTCAAATTGACAGTTTCTTATACAAAATAATATAAAACTGAATAGAAACTGCTGTGTTTTCCTGATCTGACCAGACCAGGAATTCAAGCTCCCCTTAGAGCAGATAGTTTGAAACTTCAGCTGTTTTTTTTAAGCTTCTCAAACTGTATTTTTCATGTTTGATCCCTCAGAGTGACTGAACTGACACTTCTGAAATTTTCCATTAATACTTGTTTCTAAGCTTGTCAAGCATGAGAAGAAAGACAGACTTATCACTAGAGCGAAGCAGAGCCTTATCCCCCAGCTGTATCACTAGAGCATGATGAATTGGTGTTTAACAAAATTCCTTAATGCCTCAGGCAATGACACAATTAAATCTGAGTTTTGCTTTTCCTTTTCCTTTGTACTGTACAAGTATGAAACTTAGAAACAGCTATAACTGTTATGTTATCCCTAATCCCCAGTGGATAGAGCCTTAGCGAGATATGACTATATGTAAAATTTTATGTATTGGATTGTTCTGGGACAGTCTAAAGGTCTAAGAAGAAAAGTGAACTCTCCAGGTTTGAAGAAAATAATGCTTGAAGATATTATCTTTCCTTATATTCATAGAATCATAGAAAAGTTTGGACTGGAAAGCAGCTTCTGAAAGATAATCTAGTCCAACCTCACATCATCTAGTCCAACTAGGCAAGCTGTGCCAAAATATCTTCAGTAGATTCACTAGTCTTTAATTCAAGGGTCTTTTTTTTCCGTCTCTTTTAAGCATTTGGTATTGGCTGCTGTTGAAAATACCATACTGAACGAGATAATACATGTTTCTCTGTTCCCTTTTTTCAGAGGAAAAAGAAAAAAGGATTTAGGGAGTGGCAGTAACTTGCATTCAAATAAGGATGATGTATTTGTCCCAATAATAAATTACATTTGTGATGTACCGCATAATTAAAGTAACATAAAAAAATGTCTTGGGCACTTCCGAAAGTGTAGATCTGTGTAGTTAAATGCAATCCTTGTCTCCAAAGGAAGTACACACTTCTAACTCATTTGGTTTTGAAGGATATGAGAACAGTAACGAGTTGCTAACCATGAAGTTCTTTTTCACTATCTGCCTGGCTAAGTAATACATTTGACAATACTTTCCAATAGTGTATCATTTCTAAAATTAAAACCACAGCTAAAATCAAATGAAAATATCATTAAATTGACACAGAGCAAAATAAAAATGGCTCACTATCAAATAATAAACTTAATCATTATTAGTTAAACTTAGCTAAAAATATGGAATAAAACCCCAATTTCTTCACAATCCAAAGACATAGCTACTTTTATTGATCAATTACAAAAACCCCAAAATGATAGTAAATCTAATATTAAATGTTGTGTTTTCATATTCAGTCTACTATTGCTGCACCTGTAGAGAGCAAACCAAGTTAAGTTTAATAACAACTGTATACACTGGTGTAATTAAATAGACATTAATAACGAACAGTTGAGAAAGTCACATAGAATTACAACAGTCTGTTATTTGGTTCTTTACTTTTGGTTTTATAAGGATTCCTGTTGAATAGGGACAATATTTACATAAAGAGTGTAAGTGAAAGTGAAAATATTTCAGGACTAAAACCTGTTCCTCACTCGCTCATATTTATGTGTTTGCAGCTCTGTCTGACAGAAACCCTACATTAAGTGTTGGAGATGCCATCATCTATAGATTATTTTCTCTTCTAGTGTTTCAAACGCAGGGATAACTCCCTCTGCCTCTCTAACATCTGTATAAAGACTTTGACTGGCCACTGAAGATTAAAATTAGGTTAAAAATCACTGGAGCAGGTGTACTGTTTCTGATTTGAAACAAAGTTTACATTTCTGCAAGACTATTGTCTTTTTTGTTTGGATTTTACATATTTCATAGGAAAGCCTCCAGGAGTACATTAAGAAACATGACAATCATTTGTCACTAATAGTACTTTGAGGAAGAAATTGTATGTTTAGTGTAATATTTTGTTCATTTAAAAAGGATGTACGCCTACTGCTTGTGCTCTTTGATTTTATTGTTATACAGTACTGCATTTTTACATCTGACACGAAGGTTATGGAAGTCAGCACTAAACTTTAAAGGTTTTGCCCTGAAGGTAAATCTCAATACATAGTTTCCAAGGATTTGAATATGGTTGCCTTCTTGCCCTTGGGAAACACTAGTAAGGAGCTGTAGGACTCAGAACTGGAGGCACTTTCTTTCTGGCAAATACACAAGATCAGAGTGCAGCCATTTCATATCAGCTGAAGTTTTCCCGGTTTATTTTAAAACTTTTCTCAGGAAGTCATGAAGTGTAAGAAAGTCCAAAAGTCTGACTAAGCTTACCACAGCAGCTGAACTATGGCTATTATGTAACAGGCCACTCAGGCTCCTTTTGGTGTGCAGTTCCCTTAAGACTCCATTTCATGCCATAAAGCTGATTTCAGATTTTTCTCTCTCCTCCCCATTCATTTAAGCGTCTAAACTCTAGACATTACAAAATCATACATTTTAGTCAATCCCTTCCAGATACTTGGTGAGGACACTTAGAAGATGCATAACTGTTTGATTTAAAGAAAAACCTTGAAGTTCCATATTTTAAAGACAGTATTAACAATTTAGGACATCCAGTTTTATCCTGTTTCTAACAATGTTGAGGAAACCCCTTTCTCTCACCATCCTCCACCTGTCTGTTCTTCCTCACAGTCTTCACTCAAGGTAAAATGACTTAATAAAAGTTTGCTTCAAAAGACAGGAAGATAAACCTAGAAATAAATTCTAGATTCTTGAATGTTCATAAATTTGGTTTATATTTTCATAGAGAGAGTCTGCTTCTAATGATGCAAAAATCTTAGCCAATAATACTTTGACAGAATTTGAAATTGCCTGTTTAACATGTAGCAAGAGCTGTTGACCAGATACAGAATTTATAACATATTTATACTTCTAACTGGAATCTGTAGATTTTTGTCAAGATGCAAGGGAAGAGGACATTTCTAAAGAAATCCTTTAATATATTGGGTGCTTTAATCTTGTCTGTCTTCTTTTAGTCCAGCCACATCACTGTTCCTGCTCTGATGTTAATCAGAATGACTGGGTCATCCTCTTTTATAAGCTTGCTGGATTAATTCTTTTTCAAGGTCATCTGTGAATTGACTTTAGTAAGCAATTATAAATTGGATGGTATTTTAATATTCTACCCTCTCCCTGAGCTATAATCTAGAAATGATGAGAGACAAAAAGAAACCCAGAGGAGTTTGCATTTTAGAAAGCAACATGATGAACACCATTATCCAATACCTTTATAATTTCTCCTGCCCTGAACACCCTTATCTTTCCCACCGAGTTCAGAGAGAGTTGAGGGAAATTCAACATCTTCCAGAAACTGTGCTTTAGTTTTTTAACTAACATAGCTGCCTACGATCTCTGGAGAAATCTGTTGATATTGGTACTTGATACACTTAAGCTTGAGATTCAGAATTCTGTTCTATTACAAATACATCTCTATTATGGCAACAGAACTCACGCCCTCTCTGCCTTTGATGTTGCCTTTTGAATTTTAACATTAAAAAGAAGTATTTTCCTCCACTGTATTTTTAAAAGAATTTGAAACTGTTTAGGAAACTACTTTTGGGCCATCACCCAGCAATAAAATACTGTCATAGTGTAATGGAAGATTATTCCATTACTTGTTTAAAAAAACTCCTATTGGATACCTGCAGAACCTTGGGTTCAAAGGGCACAGATTGTAAAGACCAGTTCAATAAGGATTGCAGATCTACTGGTTAAAGCCCTCACAAGCATTTTCTACTACATAACTGTGTTTAGACCCAACCACAACATGTGCTCTTAAGCATCTTTCAATGTCACCATGATAAAGCAGTGATTTTCCCCTGACCGACTCTTTGGTGTGCTTTCTAAGCACAGAAAGCAAGCTACGGCTTTCTCTCTGACTCCTCGCAGACCAGCAGTACAGCTGCCTCAGGTCTCAACAGGTTTGTTAGTTAGTCACAGTCATTTTCAAGACTATGAAGAAAGATAGAAAGCAATTCTGTTGCTTTAAGTTAAAAAAAGAGAAAAAAAAAGGATAAAGATAAATGGAGAACATCGCTGTGATAGAATGTGTTCCTCAAGGGGAATACTAATATTCGCCCATGAGGATTCTGCTAAGGGGTTAAGACTGTGCTATGGAAAGAGGACATAACTTAAAACATTCCTGGGGCTATCAGTACATCCAACCAACAAA